ATGATTGGAAGTTGGTGTTCTGAACAGTACACACTGTTTCGGGTACAATGATTTAAACCATGGACTAGATTTTTAGAATAACTGGTCCAGGGCAGTGACACTCACCTTGTGACTCCTTAGCACCTGCCAACCCATCTGCAACACAGCTCTGGAGCATGTGGCAATGGGTGCTTATAAATGTCTGTTTATTGCACTCTGAAAATTCAGTACCAAGAAATCCACAGAGACAAGTAACCACAATTCCTATTGGAAAGTTTTCACATTTCAGTCCTGCCACCAGCCTTTTCTGTGACCACACTGTCAGAGACAGGCTCCAGGATCTTTGTTTCCAGCTTCATTGAATCTCTCATAACGGTCATCACTATAGCAAAGCAGCTCCTCACAGTACTCAAATGATTGCTTTTCAAAGGAAGTTGTATAATGAGGGTAAACAGGCTTTTCTAAATAAACCACACAATCTTAGGAGATTGTTGCAGCAGGGAGAAAAGGAGTTCATGAATAAGATATACACCGGATTTCAGAAGGCCATCTGACGTAAACCTCCACAATCACCATTTACTAACTTTTGGGTGCACATGAATTTTTTTCTCCCCCTTGCAGATGTATATGGAATGACCAAACTTTAGAATCTTCTTTTCTTATCTTTCTTTCTTTTTAAGGATGGCTGTATTCTTCTGTTAATTTCAAGGTTATATTTTTACCTCTGTGTAATGCTGCTTCAGGTTTTTGAGGGAATCATGAAAACATATCCCAGTTTGTTATGAAAGGTGGTTTACCATTCATACCTACCAACTATTTCTTGAACATCTAGTACATGTCAGACACTAGTCTAGGCATTCACACACACGTCATCAAACCACCTTACATTGTAGGTATTATCAGCTCCATTTTATGGGATGCTCAGACAGGTTGAATAATGGCCAAGGTAACACAACCAGAAAATGATTAGAAGCTCTACCTGACTCTTTCCATCTCACTACATTGTCTTATTAGTTAGTAATAGTGATGACAATAATAATGACAGCTACCACTGTGCTAGGTGCTTCACAAACTCTCCTTTAATCCTCATCAATGATCTTCTCAACAACCTTGTATGGTAGACATTGCCTTTCACAAATGACTAAACATGCAGTGCAGGGTTTGAAGAGTCCAGGGAGGAACTGTGTGGTGGACTTACAGGGAGTCTCCATCATTAAACAGCCACATCACCTCAGGACAATCAGAAGAAAAAGCATAGAAATGTTGAGCTAGAGGGACCTTGGAGATGACAGTGTCCAGCCTCTTCGTTTTGTAGATGAGGACCTCAAGCCATCCTAGCTGACCCACTGAGCCTGCTCATCCATCACATGGGAAGAGCAAAGCCTGCCTGCATTTTTAACCCCAGCAAGTTGCAAGGAGCAAATGAGGTGACAAATGTGAAAATAATTTGAAAAACAAGGTTACACAGATGCAACATTAGAAAAATCCACACCATCTAAAAGTGCTATAAAAGTTCTATCAATTCCCTCTCCCTCTCCCCCGCTCTCCTTTATTTACCTGCAAGAAAATACGCTGATACACTGTCGTGGACATCAAGTATGTTTTCATACTGTGTTTACATAGACATGTACACACTCAGGTACATAATTATAGCAGCACCAGCCATGCCACTACACTTAAGGTTCTGTCAGCTTTTCCAATATTATTGCTATTTTCAGGCAGTTTTCAAACTTAGCAGCAAAAATTCATTTTTATTTGGAACTAGATATAATACATGATCTCAGCAGTACAGCAAAATTCTCCACTAAAAAAAAAAGGAGAGAGGTTGGCCAGTTAGCTCAGGTGGTTAGAGCATGGTGCTAATAACATCAAGGTCCAGGGTTCGATCCCTGTGGCCAGCACAAAAAATAAAACAAAAGGAAGGACTAGTAGCAGGTCATTTTAGTCATTTCTAAGAGCTGGTTGCCCTTCTGGATTTTTGAATAATGGAAGTTGTTTTATTTTAATGGCACCTGCAATAATTGTCTTCCAATTACAATGGAAGGGTGATTGTTAATAGCTATGACCTGAGCTATATATCGTGATGTTTATAGGGCTGCAGGTTTCTTGGTTGGGCTGATGTTTGCAGTCAAAAAGCACATGCTCCCCACATCCCACCTACTTGTTGGTTGGGGCAAGCTGTTAGGGAACCACAACTAAGCATATGGCAGCACTCTTTGCCCAAATACCTCTTCCCTCCTTTAGGTCTCAGTGCCCTTCCCTGACTACCCTACCCAGAACAGCAGTCCGCTCCCATCACTCTGCACCCCTCTCCTGCTTTATTTTTGTTCTTAGGACTTATCACCAATGACACACATTATGTCCTTGTTCGTTGTTGCGCATCTCCTCCAGCTGGAAACCAAACTCCATGACAATGGTATCTTCTAATATTTTACTCACTGCATTCTCTCAGTGCCTAGCATATAGTAGGCACTTGGTCAGTATTTGTTGAAAGAAAAAACTAAACCCAGACATCGAATAATCTGAAAAATGCAAGTCTTTGGGAATGTGAAGCCCACATTCTATTGTTTATTCTTTTGGAAAGATTTTCTCCAAGATTTTACAGAGTCAGCTGCTATGCTGAGGTTTCAGAGGGTAGCATTCTGTACACAATACTGTACCCACAGAAAGAGAAAGAGCAAACAGTTGTTTTAATCTCTAATTACTTGGTTATGAGTTTTAAATTTTTTTCTTTTTCATTTCGTTGAATACAGATGCCTTTGAAATGTGGATTAATATTAAGGAGGGAAAATAGTACATTATCCATTCATTGAGTAAACATTCACTGAGCCCTACTGAGAGCCAACATCTGCCCCACCCCATAATGAATGGTTTCAGAAGCCCCCAGGATCCCCAGGGGAGCAGAACACTTCATCTGTGGAGCAGTACAATCAGAGGCAGCAAAAATCAAAACATGAAAAAGAATATAGATTTCAAATTAACCCACCACTTTAGAAAAGTTATTTTCGATTTGCCAAAGCACAACTTTTTAAGCATTCAGTCACAGAATCATATTAAATCCAGTATGAAAATTCAATTGAATGTAAAACTTTGATTGATGAGCAGAAATTTGAGAGAATTTACTTATTCCTGGAGAGAAGAGAGAGACGTTCCACTAAACAACAATGCTACTGTTTATATTGTGAGTTCAGTTGTTGTTATTTTGCTAGACTACTCTACACTCATGTATTACAGGGTTTATAATTCTGGAAAAAATCAGTATGCTTCAGATTTATTTTAAAAGGAATATGCTATGCCAATGACATACTTTTATTACTTTTTCATTTCCAGTCAACCAACTATTAAATACCGATTACATGTTTAAGCTTATGCTTTTTTTCTATTTCTTTACCTGGTTTCTGAGATGCTGCCTTCGTCTGCTTCCTCTCCTACCATCTCTCTCAGTCTCTCTCAGTCACCTTTCCTGGCTTCTCTTCTCCCACCTGCCCCTTAATTGACAGTGATCCCCAGGGCTCTGCCTGCATTTTTATCCCTGTTCTACATAATTCTAGGCAAATGTACCAATGTCCATAGCTTCAAACTTTCACTTATATATCAATAACTCTCAAGTGTACAACTAGAGCATTTGCCATTGTCCAGGGCCCACACCCATATTTCCAAGTGCATACTAGATCTCTTCATATAGATATTCTGAAAAATACCTTTAAGTCATTCTGTCTAAAATCAAATTCAATATCCTTGAAACCAAACTCCCACCCTGCACAGGACACTATCCACCAAACACAACACACACATGCATGCACACACATACACATGCACTCTTACATGCATGCTCATGTGCACATGTGTGCACACACACATGCACACACACACATACTGAGACACACAAGCTGAGTACCTACTAGTTACCAAGTTCTTCCACACCCATCACCTTCAAAATGAAGCTGGAAACCTGGGAAACATAGCATTGCCTTTTAAAACCTTTCAGCGCTACATAACACACCTGCATCACTGTCACCTGCTGCAGGTGGTTCTCAAACTGTGTTCTGAATTGCTTCAAGGGTGACCTGGACAGATAAAAGGGAGACCAAGACAGAGGAAGCACCAGTCTTCTCACATCCAGTTTAACTAAAGCTGCTTCACTTTCATTTGTTTTATCTGGTACTAACTAAAAATGTTTTGACCAAAGAGTTCTGCCACTTAAACCAGGCTTGAAAACCACTGACAGGCCCCCCTTCTTGGGCTGAATCCACCTGACCCATGTCCCATCGCCTGCCACTCCCTCATACTCACCTTGGGCTCCAGTCAGACCAAACTAATCGCAGCCCCTAACATGTTCTTTCACGTATCCCTGTGTCTTCCAACATGCAAACATTCCCTTTGGGTGGAATGCCTCTCTTACCTCCAGTTCTTTGCCCGGTGAACTCTTACATCCCTCAGCACCCAGATTTGACACCCTACCCCTGTGATGCCTTTGCTGACCTCTCTGGCTTCCATACTGTGCCTTCTCTCCCAGTCAGCCACTTCCACCCCTGCCCCACGGTTACCCATGCCACTGCTACGCCCTCAACACATCAGTAGTCACCTGCTGATCTCTCACACGGGACTATGAGCTCCTTTGGGGCAGGATTATGTTGTATCTTACTCCATCCCCAGGTCCTAGCACAGTGTCTGGCACTCAATAAATATTTTCTGAGTGAATCTCTCAGTGATTATCCATTCAATTCCCTCCTTGCCATTGCCAGGTCTTCACTAGCTCTT